TGTTCTATGATCGACATACGAAATTCCTTTCTGTCTATTGGTTGCCTGATTTTGGTTGGTTTCCGTTTCTAGGCGGCTGTGCTTCCTCTTTGGGGTGTGTTTCCATTTGGTTCTTCTATTTCCTTGAGTTTTCGTGGATCTCCTCATGTCGATCAGTTGTTGCTTCTTTCCTTAAGTTATTTTTGGGTATCACCACTTGTTTAGTTTCTGAGGTGTTAGGTGTTGTCCTGTGGGTGAATTGGACCCACTCCCTGTATATTGAATGTCAGTGGTGCTGTTGGAAAGGCTGTTGCAAGATGCGTCCCTGTCAGTAGGTGGCGTTTGCTTGGAGGAAACACTACCGTGTTGATTTGTGTCTGTTACCAGCTTCTTGTCTGGGGGCCGGAGCTGGTTGGTAAGCCTGCGCCTCAAGGCCGTTAGCAGGGGTTCAAGGTTCTGGTTCTCCTGGCTTCCAGGAAAAGCTTCAGTGGGCTTGAATGGCCTGCTCCAGCAGGAAAGTCTGGGTGTGTGGGTGGGTTGTCTGAGACCTCGCAGTTGGAGCGGGGTCTCGGCTTCTCCACTTCCTCAACTCTGCAGCCATCTGGCTTTTCCAAGCGCCAGACCACAAGCACCAAGGCCTCCGGACTGTGATGGCGGCAGGGGAGGTTCCCTGCACACGGAACAGCCACCTGGGGCTGGGCGCACGGCCTCCTCCTGGAGAGGGTTGCCCTCTAGGATGCTGATCTGCCCTGAGGCACACACCACTCAGTAGGCTGCACGTATAGACCTTCTGTGCCGGCAATGTAAGCCTCGTGCAGGGGACTGGTCTGCAGGTCGACCTCTGGGTCCAGATCAAACTGATCCCGCACCAGGGAAGAGGATTTCCGGTCCAATTCACCCACAGGGAGCACCATGCTGGTTCTATGTTTCAGCCCTGAGTCGACACGTACTGAACACTGTGCAGCAGTACTGGGGAGAACTGGCGGTTATGTGAGCTCACAGTCAGGGGTGAGTTCCGTGAGCGCTGTAGGTCCAAAAGGGAAGGTCCTGTCCCTTGAGGTGCCTCTGGCTGGTGGCTGTATTGGTCTTCTCTGGGCTGCCGTGGGTGGGGGTCGGCAGAGGGAGGAGGAGGCAATATGGCGCTAGCCAGTGTCTCGGTCTGTGCACCACGGAGTTCCCGGAGGAAGTTGGGAACCTGGTGCACCTCTGCTACCAGGCTCACGCTGGCTGGTGCAGCGGTCCCTGGCTGATCCGCAGGTCTCCACCTGCTGGGGAGCCACAGCAGTCCCGATGCAGCGTGAGGAAACAGCATACACCTACCCTGCCGCTTGTCCTTCCGGCTGCTCTGGTGGATCTCAGCCTCATTCCCTCCGAACTCTTTCCCGTTGTAGTCTCCCGGGTCTCAGTACTCTTCCGGCCCTCACCCGCTGAGTGTTTTCTTGCTTCTTTTCTAAAGATTCTGCTAGAATCGCTTTTGCCAGAGACACTCTGTCTGGCATGTTTCTCCGCCATCTGTTCCTTTCTAGGTTTTTTTTTTTTTTAGTTCATAGGAAGCAATGATGGAAATATGCTGAAGAAAATTGGAATAGTATTTAAAGAAATGCATTATTATGTTTGTGGTTCTTAAGCATGTTATTTTTGTATATATTTTAGCTTAAAAATTTTTCAAAAGACATTTCCAACTACCACCTCTATTAATTTTGTGTAACAAAATAATGTATCGTAAAAAAAGATATTAACCATATATTGCAGACATAAACTGTACTTCAAAGCAATGTATCTATTGCTTAATGATAGCTGGATATAAAATGCCTAATTTTATGTGATTAAAACATGCCATTTGACGTCTAGAGACCCAACATTAATCTTAAAAACGATTTCTAGGCGGGTGCTGTGGCTCACGCCTGTAATCTAGCTCTTGGGACGGCGGCGCGATTGTCTCAAGGTCAGAGGTTCCAAAACCAGCCTGAGCAAGGAGCGAGACCCGTCTCTATATGAAATAGAAGAAATTAATGGCAACTGAATATATATATAAAAATAGGGGCATGTCAACATGCCAGTCCAGCCTATCGGATGGACTGAGGCAGAAAGGATCACTCCGACCCAGATGTTTGAGGTTTGCTGTGGCTAGGCTGACGCCAGGCGAGCAGCCTCATCTAGCCTGGAACAACAAAGCGAGACTCTGTTAAAAAAAAAACAAAAAAAACAAAACAAAAAAAAAAACGATTCTATCTTCATTTATAGAAATATAAATAATTCTACTTTTAAAATTGGATTTAAATGTGAAAGTTTGAGACTCAGTAGATGATGTCTTTTGAAGATATTGACCTGCCAATTCTATAGTTTAGCTGTGTTAAAACAGATTAAAAAAAGGTGGAAGGTTAGAAAATTATCTGTAAATGAGAACAGGGTGTTCAAACTATTTGAGTTTATAAAATTCAAATATTGGAATTATCACTTTTTACCCTTCCTGAATAAATAGCAGGCTTTATTATTGCTCCTCTTACCCAAATTATCTAGGCTATTTTTAATCTTCCATTTCAATTTTCTAGGGTAGACATAGTATACATACACACCGCCACCTGAGTATTCAAGCTTTATTCTATTATCAAGATGTGGTTTGTAACAAACTTGGTGATATGATTTTATATTCTCTGAAGAAATCACTCTGTGGTAAAGCAGGGGTTTGGCCACAGCAGTAACCCCTGGTAAGAGCTAAATAAACCATAGTATTGAGAAGTCTGCTTGGAATTTAGTTGTTTAATTGTTTTCATATGCTTACTTTAGAATGGGCATGAACCCCTAACTAGTCAGCTGTACAAAGGTCAGGGTTGGAATCCAGGTCCTGTTCTAATAGAGCCAAAACATTCCCTTAGCACTCCCACTTTTGAGGAGTCTTGTTTCTTAGGGAAATAAGTTCTATTGCTTTGAAGGAAAACAAGTTATTTTAAGGAAAGATCTTCTGTCCACCCCAGTTATACTTCTACTTTGTATCTCTCTCTTTTTTTTTTTTTTTTTTTGAGACAGAGTCTCACTCTGTTGCCCTGGTTCGAGTGCTGTGGCGTCAGCCTAGTTCATAGCAATCTCAAATTCCTGGGCTCAAGTCATCCTTCTGCATCAGCCTCCTGAGTGGCTGGGACTACAAGGATGTATCACTATGCCCAGCTAATTTTTTCTATGTTTTTTTGGTAGACATGGGGTCTGGCTCTTGCTCAGGTTGGTCTTGAACTTCTGAGCTCAAATGATCTGCCCGTCTTGGCCTCCCAGAGTGCTAGGAGTACAGGTGTGAGCCACTGCGCCCAGCCTACTTTCTCTTGACATTTCTTAGAACCATGCAAGAATTCCAGTAAATAAAGCTAAATCTTTATTACTTAAAAAAATAGCTTCTAGACAATGCGTGCATCAAGCACCTTATATTCTTACACAGATTTCCCAAATTTACTTTCTGTATTATACTATTAGACTATATACTATTAGACAAGCAAGGATATAGGCTCAGATAGAAGTGATTTGCTTAATATCCCAGAGGAAATACGTGAGCCAGTAGGAATTTGAACACTGGTCTTTCTGACTCTAAAATTCACACTCTTTCTACCTTGAGGTTGTTGAGTTGTATTTTCACCTGTACTTATGGTTGTGTGTTGGCATGGGACTTGCTAGAGATGTAAGCATGGAAGACCTGTAAGTATGGCACCTATTTTCCCAAAGAAAACTAAGACATACAAACATACTTCTGAGACATAATGATTGGAATTGGACTGTCCCAAGAAATTCAGAGTATGTGCCATTCCAGAAAAGATCCCTTTACTCAGAGGCAGAGACATGAGAGATTCACATTGTGTGATTATGTTTGTTCTATAGTGGTAAAGGCAAATGGGGCTTTGTTTGGTTAGTGGAAATGGGTTATGAAGGCTTGCTTCCCCAAACTGCCACAGAATTGTGAAATTATGAATCACACTTTTTATGATGGGTCCCTCTTTCTAGGGAGTACTATATTCTTTTATTCACACTTCTTTAAAGCAGTAGTAAATTATGTGTGGGTATATGGAACTAGATATATTAAATTGCTTATTAAATTTTTTCCATATAGTTATCTTTCTCTTATTATGTGTTTATGGCAATATGTATTGACATTTGGAGGTATTGGAATCATTGAAAATACAATCTTTTAAAAATTTCAGACAAGTTAACATGATGCAAGGGATAGAGTTAAAGTGAAAAGAGTGTTGATTTTTTTCCAATAATAAAAGTAATAATTTTCTCTAGAAGATTTGGTCAATGTAAACAATGTTTAGAAAAAAATAAAAATGATTTTTCACCCCACTAACCAGATATGACTATTGCTGTTGTTAGGCATATTGATAAAGTAATATAAAAGTAAGCTTTATATATGTTGATACATGTGTGAAGAAATAAATGTTAGATATTTAATGTCATTCATTGTAGGGAAACAAAGGTATATAATAGCATCATATTCTAGCATTTCTCAGAAGAATAACAAAACAATTATATTTATTAATATATATATTTTCAAGAAAACAAGAAGCATGTGTCTGGCTGGGATTACTTTTAAAGTATATACTGAAAGCCTGGTTTCATTTAGTAATCAGGATTATGGATCCATAATCTTGAAGTCATAGTAAAAACATGTTAAATGGTGGCCCCTTCCTCCAGCCTCAACTGGGATCCTGTTCCAATGACTAATCGTTTGTTTTACGTCTTGCTTAAAAACAGCTAGAAAAATAACCATGTAGAATCAAATCTAAAAGTATTATGTAGCATATTGTATTTTCAAAAAAAAGGTTGCAAAATAATTCCTGTCCCACTTCCCCGTTAAGAGGTGGAGTTCAGTTCTCTCCCTCACCTTGAATTTGGGTGGGATTAAAATTGCTTCCACAAATAGTTTGCAGTTGAGATGACTTTATATAACTTCAGATACTAGCTCAGAACAGGCCTTAAGTCTCTGTCTGTCTAGTTCTTTTGGGATGCTTGCTCTGGAGGAAGTCAGATTATGTAAACTAACCAACTGCCCTGAGACTGCTGTGCTGTGTGAAAGCCCAAATTAGTCCACATGGAGAGACCACATAGAGAAGCATTCACTCTGCATGGACAGAGAGATGCCTCTAGCTGTTATCAGTTGAGCCAGCTCTTCCTACTATGTGACTACAGATGAGCCACTCTCAGCTAGAACCATAAGCTGAGCCATCTCTGAATTCCTGACCTACAGAAAGCATGAAAAATAATAAGATAATGTTACTTTAGTTACTAAATTTGGTGTGACTCATCATGTTGCAGTAGGTAAGTGGAACAGAATTTGGTGCAGAAATGGAATGCTGATATAACAAAAACCTACTGCTGTGCCCTTGGGCTTTGAATTAGGCAGTGGACAGAATACTTTAGGAAGAAGAGACTATTCATGAAATTCCAAAGCACCTAGGACATTCGAAGAGTCAAGTCAGGGAGAGGTCTAAGTAGTCTCACTATTCAGTACGTAGAATTTCATTCAGTATGACATTGCTGCCCTCAGCTGTGCCTGACAAGTCCTAGTCCAAAGTTCCTATGATTCAACCTCTCTAGTCTTTTGCTGTGGTGATAGAGGGCATCTAAGTATTTAACTGCTTCTTTTATAGACAAATAACCAATACTTCTATTTCCAGTCTCACCAGCACCCCAATGTTAGGGGTATTCTGGTAGACCCAACTCTTGAGCATTTTCCTGGTTCTTCAAGGTATGTATCTTGCCATTTTTGTGCATGCATTTAGTTTTCTCATCTTCTAAGTCAGTCTTTATAAGTTTATGTGCTTTCCACCTTCTAAATAGGGGAGAATTTTATTCTCCCCTATTCTCTTTGTTCTGTGAGTTTGTAACTTAAATCCTTTCAATGCAATTTTAATGTGTTCTCAGTAGAGAGCAGAGATTAATGAATGAGTTATATTCTTCTTTTGTTTGATTATTTTTTTTACTGTGAAATGTAACAAATATATATAAAAGTGCAAGAAAATATATATAGCTCACTGATTTTCACAAAGTAACCAGCCAGGTTAAGAAACAGAACATTGCCAGTCCACCAGAATCCCCACTTCCAGCTTGAAATACTCTTGTGATAAGAATCTTCATCCCATCACAATAACTATAATTTCAATGTACTCCAAATATCCTGAAGCTTACTCTGTGGTCTCCTGAGTGTGTCACTTGATAAATAATCCAAATTAATCCACTTTTTCTGTATTTTTCTGCTATTTATTAAATGGAAAAAATATTCAATGTTGATATGGAAGAATGTGTCACATCTTACTAAGTATAATGTTTTGTTAAGGAATATTTGTATGCAGGCACAACCTAACTTTATCTAAAAGAAACTTTATCTGACAGAACATTGTTCTTCTCTTGAGATATTCATTCTATAGGACTAATCTAATTTTCCAATATGATTTCTCTTTCTGTGATTTTAGAAGGTCCTGGGGAAACACTGAAGTTAGACTGTGACATAGAACCAGTATAAAATAAATTGAAAAGTAATATATCCTGGTAATATCATTTATTCTTCTCTTACTAAAAGCACAACACCCTTCCTGTACAAAGGCCATAGTTTTCTGTGAACCAGAAAAACTATAAATTTTACCAGCTGTTTTTAAGTGAGAAGAAATATCAAGAAATTCCTCCTGTGGGCTCTGTAAATGCTGAGATAGAAGACTGACACATAAAATATAATAAGTGTAGTTATTCATGGTTTTTTTCCCTCTCAAACATGTACTAATGATTTGTTATTCTACTCCATTTATAAATAGCCATGAAGCACAGTCTCACTAAGTAAGAGGCCTGCTGTTTTTTTCTTATGTAAAGTGTCAAGTGAGTTGAATATATTTGGGCATATAAATCTTTGTTTGGCACCTAAGCAGAACACTTGGTAATAATTTAGCATATGAAAGGTATATTGGTTATCAAATTTTGTCTACAATTAGTTTCTTTTTTCTCCTTCCAGACTTACATTGGAACAGATATCCTTTTTGGAATTTTAGTCTCCATCTGTAACCTAAAGAAAAAGATGGGAAAAATAAATAATAACACTCAATTTTTCCTTCCTTGTGTAACACTGGGAAATTTCTGCAAAGGATGAAGTATTCTTCTGCATGAGAAACAGGATGCTGAATGAAATCTCCAAAATCTAGTTTCAGTACTGGTTGGGTCATATTTAATATCTAGCAGTTTTGTGTTGCCTTTTTCCTATTTAGAAGTCTTAGATTAGCTACTGAAATGAAACACGCAAAATCTAATTTCAGAGAAAAAAATTTGCATACATATTATATTGCAGATTTTTTAACCTGGCTTGCCATTAGAATTCCCCAGGGAATTAATTGAATAGATTCCTAGGTTCTGCTCCTAGAGAAAGCCATTTTTGATAAAGCATTTGGTTTCTGCTCCTGTAACAATGTGAGGAAAGGGACCTTTCACTGTAGCTTATCAAACTCTGAAGTTCACAAACCATTTTCATTACATTGCTTTCCTAGTCCATAGAGTAGTGATTTTTAAGTACTAGCATTCTCTCAAGGAAGGAATTGGGATAGATAATTTGGGAACATGAGGCTCCATGAGAGAGAGGGCAGGCTGGAGGGGGAGGCCATTGGAGTCTTTTGATATCAGATCTCTTAGCAGCTTCTGGGCAGCTAAGAGAATAGGAAAAGAAATTCAGAGAGAGTGAAGGACACTTATAAAGAAGCTATTTCTGCTTTCTAACTCTTTTCTTACTAAGTATGCATGTGTGTAGTCACTCATGCCTCACCTCAGCCAGCTGTGTGAGAGGTTCTGCCCAAACAGCTGGAGGCAACTCCAATCATCCATCAGTGTGGCAGCTCAGTATTCTCCTGAGGTCTGCTCTGTGGGATTTAGGTTAACTCCAAGCCCACTGAATTAACTCATGACCCAAAGAAACACTTGAAAATATGGAGCTGAGGAAAGCACACCTGGAATGGAAGTCAGGAGATGAAAGTTCTAGTTCTAGTTCTGTCATTTATTAGCAAAGCGACTTCCTTAATGGCCCTGGACATTAGGCTTTGTTGTTTACTCAAGGAAGGTTGCGCTAGATAATCTCTTGGGTCCCATTTAGCTCCCAATATATTATTGGGAAAGGGCTGAGGCTGAGGCAAGAGCTGTTTTCTGATTTAAGTATAGAATTGCTATTGTGAAGTACATTTTGCCCAAGCCCTTTTAAAAATGAGATTCTTTCTCTTTGGAAGAAATCAGTGTTTTTGATAAGATTGGCAATATTATTTCTTTTTATTAAATACTGCTACTCCTTCTGTTTTTACACACTGTAGATTAGTCTTTTAATGCTGCAAATTTAAAATTAAGAGACTATGATTTGGAAACATGAGTTGTAAACTTATCACTGAATTCTTACCCATTTGAATAAGGGTTGAAAATTCTCTTGGAGGGTTGAGCAATTTCCTGAGTCTTTAGATTTTTGTTTTAGTCCATTTTCTTTTAATATTATAATTATTAATACTATTAACATTCTTAGGGATAGATTCATAAATAAAGTATTATATTTATATTCAGAAATAACTAATAGCTCAAACTCAAACTGCTCTAAATAAACTGACCTTGCACTCAAAATGTGCTTCATTTTATGTTTCCTACCATTTTAAAAGATATCTTTGTAGTCACCTCTAATTCTTTTTCTCCTGCACCCTTCACACTAATGGCCAATTTTCTTGGTTCTACCTCTGAAGTGTTGTTTTGGAAACCTTACTCCCACTGACATTACTTCTTGCCTACCATTGCAAAAGCCTTCTCTCTGTTTTCAATCATTATCCACATCAATTTGTCCTCCACTGTCAGCAGAATAATCTCTCAACTACACCATTCTGATATGTCCCCTGCTTGTCTAAAAAAACATTAATGTCTTGGCATTATTTATAGAATGAAATCCAAGTTTTCTAGTAAGATTTTAAAATTTTGTTGTTTGGACATGCCAAATATTCATACATTTATTTGATCCCCCTACTTTTGCTTATGCTGCTCCTGTAACCTTAAATGTTGTCTCCCCATCCCTACTTCTGTCTGGCAAAGTTCTACTTGTCCTTCAAGGCCAAGCCCCAAAGTGTCCTCTATCATGAGTCCTTACCTGATTATTTTACATCCATATAAATGCTTCCTCTGAACTCTTATTGACTTTAATATTATGCTACTTGGTATTACCTTAATTCCTATCTTCAACATGAAGTGTTTTAATAAGCTCCAGGTAGTCTTCAACACCTGAAATTGATGTAAATTTCACATTTGTGTATTTCTGCTAAAAGCAACTATAACTTTTATCAAATTTTTAGAAGATTCAATAATTCTAAGTGGTTGATAACCATACTAATACTATATTATAATTCTTTAAGGAAAAAAGATGTACTTCGTCAATTGAAATTTTGCCATAATGCCTCAACACAATGAATTAAAAGTAATTTCTCAATAAATCAACTGAATAAATAATTGAATACTGCATTTAAAAAGTTTAATTGGAGAATTCTCTAAATTTGAGTTCAAACTCATGTATTGGATTGTTGTTAAAACTTGTCTCTGCAAGATGGCGGACGAATAACACGCCAGACAGAGTCTCTGCAGAAAAGACAGATTCTAGCAGAAATTAGAAAAAGAAGCAAGAAGACGAGCATACAGCGGACAAGGGCCGGAAGAGGGGTACCTGAGACCCCGGGAGACTCCACGGGGGAGGCTGCGGAGGAGAACTGGAGGCTGAGACCACCGGAGCAGCCGGAGACCAGCGGAAGGGTAAGTGGATTTGCTGTTTCCCTGCCCTGCATTCGGGACTGCTGGTGGCTCCCCAGCGAGTGGAGAGAACTGCGGACACCAGCCAAGAAGACCGCCGCCTGCCAACGGTGAGCCTGTAGCAGACGTGGCACCAGGTTCCCAACTTCCTCCGGGCACCTCTGTGTGCACAGACCCGAGCCACACGGCAGGCGCCATATTGCCTCCTACTCCCCTCCGCCGACCCTACCCGAGGCTGCCCAGAGAGACAATACAGCCACCAGCCAGGACCCCCAGGGAACGGGACCTTCCCATTTTGGACCCTACACCTGACTCAGGGGAACTCAGACTGTGGAGCTCCCTACCCGCCGCCCCCCAGGTGCTGCTAGAACCCTGTTCCCAGGAGAACGGTGCTGACTCAGAGGCTGAGAGACATAGACCCAGCTTGGCTCCCTGTGGGTGAATTGGGACCGGAAATCCTCTCCCTGGTGGGGATACAGTTTGAACTCTGGGACCCAGAGGTCGGACTGCAGACCAGATACCCTGCACCAAGGGCTAGCATTGCCCGAGGCACAGAAGGATTATACGTGAAAGCCTACTGAGGTGTGTGTGCCTCCAGGGGGAATCGGCGTCCTAGAGGGCAACCCTCCTCCCAGGAGGAGCCGTGCTCCCAACCCTGGTGGCGTTCCTGTGCAGGGACCCTCCCCGCCGAATCACAGTCCGGGGAGGCCTGGTGCTTGTGGTCTGGCCTGCTGGCAGAGCCCAGAAGTAGCTGCGGAGTTGGGGGGGGGGAGAAGCGAGGCCCACTCCAGACTGCAGTCTCAGACAGCCCACCCCCACACACAGACTTTCTAGCTGAGCGGGGACCATTCCAGCCCCACCCTGACAGCTTTCCCTGGAAGCAGAGAACAGAACTTTGACCCCTGCTAACGGCTGAGGGCAGGCTTACCCAACCCAGCTCCGCCCAGAACAAAGAGCTGTTAAACAGGACACAAAATCAAGTATAGCCTGTTCCTCCAAGCAAACGCCACCTACTGACAGGGACGGCATCTTGCACAGCCTTTCCACGGCACCACTGACTCAATATACAGGGAGTGGTCCAATTTCACCCACAGACACCACCTAACGCCTCAGAAACTAAACAAGGTGTGTGAATACCCAAACAATAACTTAAGGAAAGAAACAACAACTGATCGACATGGGAAGAAATCAGCAAAGAACTCAGGAATAGAAAAACCAAACGGAAACACAGCCCCAAAGAAGAGCACAGCCCCTGGACACGGACCAACCAAAATCAGGCAACCAATATGACAGAAGAGGAATTTCGTATGTGATCATAAGAACACTCACCCCCAGCTGCAACAACAACTCAATAACCAACACAAAGAACCACAAAAAGCCTCCAGGATATGGGAAAGAAATAGACACAATGAAGAAAAGTGTAACCGAACTCCTGGAAATGAAGATCAATTCAAGGAACTACAAAATACAGTGGAAAGTCTCAAGAACAGAGTAGAAGAAACAGAAGAAAGAATCTCAGAGCTTGAAGATAACACCCTCCAATTAAATAAATCAGTCACAGAAATAGAGCAGAGAAACAAGAGAAAAGAGCAAAGCCTACAAGAGCTGTGAGATTATGTGAAAAAACCTAATGTGAGGGTCATAGGGTTACAAGAAGGGGAAGAAGACAACACTCAAGGGTTGGACAAGCTGTTTGAAGATATAATAGAGGAAAATTTCCCAGGCCTTGCTCAAAATCTTGATATACAAGTTCAAGAAGCTCAGAGGACCCCTGGGAGATTCAACGCAAACAGGAAGACATCACGACATGCAGTCATCAGACTGACCAAAGTATCAACTAAAGAGGCCCTTCTAAGAGCTATAAGACAAAAGAAGCAAGTGACATATAGGGAAGCCAATTCAAAGAACATCAGACTTCTCTAATGAGACGTTACAAGCAAGGAGAGACTGGGGCCCATTCTCACTCTTTTGAAACAAAAACAGTGCCCATCCTAGAATATTATTCCCTGCAAAACTAAGCTTCATATATGAAGGAGAAATAAAAACATTCTCAGACAAGCAAAGGCTCAGGAATTCACCAAGACAAGACCACCCTACAAGAAGTACTTAAAACACAGAACATGTGTTCGTTTATGCCACAGAACATCAATAATACCAAACCCGAATAATAAACAACAACCAAAACCCAAAGAATATTTAAAGGGCAAGATATTACAATGGCTCAAGACAGAAATTATAGCAACAACATCCAACCCAACAGAATGATCAGTAATCTACCCTACCTATCAGTTCTCTCAATAAATGTGAATGACTTAAACTCTCCACTCAAGAGACATAGGCTGGCTGAATGGATAAGAAAATACAGGCCAAGTATATGCTGTCTTCAGGAAACACATCTAACCTGCAAGGATGCATATAGACTAAAAATAAAAGGGTGGAGATCAATATTCCAAGCAAATAGAAGCCAAAAGAAGGCTGGTGTGGCAGTTTTAATTTCAGACGATTTAGTTTTTAAACCAACAAAAGTAGTAAAAGACAAAGAGGGTCATTATATAATGGTGAAGGGCACAGTTCAACAAGAAGAGATAACAATTTTAAATATATATGCACCCAACTTAGGTGCACCCAGATTCATAAAGCAAATCTTACTGGAGCTAAGCAAATGGATTAATAGCAATTCCATAATCGTCGGAGACTTCAACACCCCACTGACGGCACGAGACAGATTCTCCAAACAGAAAATTAATAAAGAAATAATGGACTTAAACAAAACTCTAGAACAATTGGGTCTGACAGACATTTACAGAACATTCTACCCAAAATCCACTGAATATACGTTCTTCTCATCAGCTCACGGACATTCTCTAAGATTGACCATATCCTAGGACACAAAGAAAATCTCAAGAAATTTTAAAAAATAGAAATCATACCATGTACCTTCACAGATCACAGTGGAATAAAACTGGAAATCAACCCTAACAGAAACACATTTCTACACAAAAACGTGGAAATTAAACAACCTCCTACTAAATGATTACTTCATAAATGAAGAAATCAAGACGGAAATAAAAATTCTATGAAGAAAACGACAATGGAGAGACAAGTTATCAACTCCTCTGGGACACAGCTAAAGCAGTTCTGAGAGGAAAGTTTATCTCCATAAATGCCTATAACCAAAA